CTTAACTAATTAAATATAAACATGTGTTCTCAAAATTATCCAATAAGATTAAATAATAATTTTGACTAATAATTAATATGAAATTCCATTATACAACAATATGCTTATAGTGATTCTCAGTGAAATCCACTATTCAGAATAGCTGTAACAATAATAATTATTATATTATAGATCCATATTTTTATTAATTTCTCTTTGTAATTTATATATATAAACAATATATAAATTAATATAACTGAAATTTGCTATATATGTAATATAAAAATTGATTTGAAATAAATAAAAAAGATTATATTCTGGTTTTAACTTTTGATTTGTTTTGTTTTTTTTGTTTCTTTTATTTGCTTTATTTTTGTTTTGTTATTTTTTTATTTTTCTATTATTTTTTTATTATTTTTTTCTTATTTTCTCTTTGTTTTTATTTTAGTTTAGTTTCAATTATCATTGTATTGTCTTTATCTTTTATAATTATACTTTTAATTTTAATTTATATCATATATTTAGTCTTAATATTATATTATTATTACTTAAACATATTCAATATTTATTTTACATTTATATTCTCATTAATTCATTATTATTAATTATTTATTATTATTAGTCATATTATTCTTATTTAAAATCTATCATGAATATAGTTATTGTTAGTCATTTTTAAATATTCTCATATGAAAGAACTAGAAATAGTATTAATATATCATTTACATATAAAAATAAGTCTCTAAATTATTCTAAAGAGATATATAATCAAACTTCTTTATAATTACACATATTTATAATTATATCTCTTTATAATCATTCTATTTTACTTTTTTATTTACATATAAATATAGTAAAAAAATCTCTTTATAGTCACATTTTCTTTATAGTCATCAAATTTTATTTTTCTGAGAGTAATGACTATAGAGAAGTTTAATTGTAATTATAATTTAAATTAGTTTTAGCTATATTTTTAAACTATTTTTAATTATATTTCTAAATTATATTATTAGTTTCAGGATATATTTTTACTTATATATTTTTATTACAATAAAATTTAAAATTATATAAAAAAATAATAATATATTAATTTATAATTTATAATTTTTGTTTTAATATAAAAATAAAAAATATTTATATAAAATGAAAAATTTTAATTTTTATTATATTTTATTAATAAAATCACATATTATTATAATTTAATATTTTTTGTATAGTTAAATCTTTTTATAGTCTCTACTCTCAGAAAAGCAAAATTTTGTGACTATAAAAAGATTTTTTTACTATGTTTATATATAAATAAAAAAGCAAAATAAGAGGACTATAGAAAAATGTAACTATAAATGAGTGTGACTATAGAGAGATTTGACTATATTTAAATTTATATAATTTTATATTAATATTTAAAATAATATTATTGAACAATTATATTAATAATTAGTATTTGAAATTTGAATGACTATTCAAATTTCAATTAGAATTTCAATTTGAATTTCAATTTGAATTTCTATTTAAATTTTGGTTCAAATTTCAATTTGAATTTCTATTTGAATTTTTATTTAAATTTTAATTTGAAATTTAATTCAATCTATAATTTTATTGGATATTTTATTTTTATAATTTATTTATAAATATAATATATATCTTAGCTCATAATTAGAATAAGTTAAACAAGTTCAAAGTTTAGAAATTGAACTCATCTTTTGTTATATATTTCTTTTTTACTTTAATTAGTTTTATAATTTCTTATTTTAATTTTAAAGTTATTGTTATTATTTAATTTATAATCCCTTATTACTATTATGAAGTTATATTTCTTAATTAATCTTTTATTTATATTGCTAAGTTAATATTATATAATGAAATTAATAAAAGAAATTATATTTAACTTGTTTATAAATTAATTATTAAAAAAAATATAATTCTCTTTAAATATTTTTGATCTTATTTTAGCTAATTAATAAATAAATATATATTACCTATCTTTAGATATTTATATTCTTTTTTTTATTTGAAGTTAATTCTTTTATTTGATTTAATATTATATATTATTTATGTACTCTTCTGTAACAAAGCTTAAAATTATACAAAATAATAATAATATATAATTTTATAATTTTGAAAATTACTATATAATATATTTTGTATTAAAAATTATTAAAGAATTATTTATATTATTAAATATTTAGCTAAAAATATAAAATATAATATTAAAAAATAAAGTATGTATAATAATTTATTATATAACTAATTTTATAATAACTTCAAAAACTCTAAAATAATATATAATTTAGAAATATTAATATTTAGATATATAATTAAAATTAATTTTTTTAATATAAAATTATATAAAAAATATTTTTAATCAAAATTCATAATTATGAAAATTAATAAAATTTATAAACGCTTAATAATTGCTTAATAACTCAAAATTTTATTAAATAAATTGTTTTGATATTTTAATTAAAAATAATTTTATATTATATTATATTTTAATTTATTTATTTATTTTAATTTTTAGAGTATTTATTAAGATATTACAAAATTAATTATATAATAAAATATTATATTTATATTTATTCTAATATTAAAACAATAAGTTGTGATATATAAATATTTATATAAAAATTTTATATTAAAACTTACTAAAAATTTGAATTAGAACTTTAACTAATTTTTTAAATTAGTTTTAATTATAACAAATTTTTTAATTATCTTTATATTTATTAAAATATTTGTTATCTAAAAAAAATAATTAATAAACAAAAAATAATGATATTACTACAAATATTCAAAATAATATTTTTTTTATAATTGAAAAAAAATATTTAAAAAAATATATAATATATAATATATAATATATAATATATAATATATAATATATAATATATAATATATAATATATAATATATAATAAAAAACTTTTTATAAAAATCAATTAATACTAAAGATAATATTTTATGATTATAATTCCAACTTGAATTATTATAGTGCAAATTAGTTCTTCGAAACAGTGCTAGATCACATGATATTCAAATTTTCACACTCACGTGATTACGAAAAATTGACGTTAAAAATTATTTTATTATTTGAATTAATATTAAAATTAAATAAGTTTATATGAAAAATTGCTTGATTTGTTAATATTTCAAGCTAAATTTTGACATTTTTTTTCAATATTTTCACATTTTTATTTTCTTGTTAAAGACCACGTGATTTAGCACTATCCCGAAGCAGTGTTCGTAGACTTACTACATTACACGTGATTTAAATATTGTTATTTTATTGGTCGATTACCAAAAACGTGATATTAGATCGCCACCAAAACAGCTGCAGATTCAATTAATATTGAAAAAAGCCATTTATTATAAATTGATTAATAGTATAGCTTAACCTTGATACAATTGTTAAGAACATGTACAGTATACATTTTCGAAAAACGGCAAGATCATCAAATCTAGTTTAAAACCGGCATCACAATCAAAATAACTTCCAAGTCATTAGCGTTAGCGTTAGGATTATTAACGAGGATGTTTCGATTTTGTATACCTGGTCGTCGTGAAAAATTTCGGAATAATTGGATTCCAGGACTTGCGGAAATCGGTTCCGGCTATGATTACATTAATGGGAAGTATGCTTCAAGCGAATCATGCACTGAAAACCTTTTTGATTGGAGCGAAGAACCTGTGCAAGAAATCGAACTACATGGCAAAACTCATTGCTATCCAAAAGGAGTAATTGAGGTAAATTCTATGAGTTTTTAATAATCAGCCTTTTTAAATTCAAATATTTTCTGATACATTGCAGTGCTATCCTGAACGTGCAGTCAACTATAATGTAGTGGCCGGTGAAACCTTGGAAGAATATCAGAAATCACTCTCTGTTACTGTTGCTGTAGAAGGTTAGTAACTGGTTGAGATTGCTTAAAATTTATATCTTATCAACCTCGATATTTTCAGGAGGATTTGCTGGATTTTCTGCTTCTGTAAAAACGGAGTATGGGGATTTTGCGAACTATAACAAATTTTACTGCTTCAGCCGAGTCCAATATGAATACAACGCCTACCTTCTTCACTTAACCTCAAATATAGTCCAATTGAGAAAGCTCTTGAAACCCGGGATTAGAGATGAAATTGACGATCCAAATTGTCACCCAGCAGTTATCTTCAAGAAATACGGAACTCATTTTGTACACAGTTTGCGCATGGGAGGTCGTGTTGTTCTTTCAGCGTCAACTAATAAATTGAAATACAATGCAAAGAATGATTTGAGAAGAATGGCAGAGTTAGCTTTTAGGTCATTTGTTTCTGGTTCTGGCTCGGATGATAAGCATGAAGAGATCAAATCCTTTGCGGAGAATAGTGAATTCAAGATGCAAGCGCGTGGTGGTGATGTAGAAGCTCTCGGAGATGACTTCAAAAATATGCATATTGCGGCATGGGCTGCCACGGTTTTGGGTGAACCTGTTTTTGTGGCATTTGATAATCCATACAGGTAAATTTTTAGACTTTGATTTATAATACTAACGAGTAACTAATATTTTCTGTTTAAGTCTAACGTTCATCGGCGACCTAGCTTGCACCGAAAAGCGTCAAAATGAATTTGCAATGGCCTGGCCGTTTTTTGCACAAAGCCAGAAAATGATGTTTCCGTCTTTTGATCCACCCTATTTGGAATACGCTCGAATTCGCGTTGAATATTCAGCTGGAGATCCTCCAGCGTTTTATAAACCTATATTATTAGAGGGCAGTAAATGGTAAGTATCACAAATAAATTCGGTTCACCATCATAATCTAACAGTATGATTTGTTTTATCCCAGGAAATGGTTAGCCCAAACCTTAGATTATCGTGGTTTTGGTATCGTTGTTAGAGAGAAACCTTTCGCAGAAGGTCTTTTGCGTGAAGTAACTCATGCAAAAAAATTCGGACATGAGCACTACGGTCGCGGTGGTAATATGTGGTTTTGGAATCCTTTAACTGACGATCCCGATAATTTCGTCGCACTTGGAGCCTTTGTGTGGACTGTTAACGAAGGTTTTGATAAAGGCCTTGCCAAAAACAAGGAATTAGTGGGTGTTCACAAAAGTCTTTGCATTTCAGGTGAACTTGGTACTCCTGTGGATAGTTGTTTTTTGAATATTGCTTATAATAATGACGCCATCAATATTGGCGCATTTATGCCCGACAATTCTGATGGTCGTGATCCGATATTTCCTATTTGGCTCTTGCGAAAAGATATGGCAGAGCTAGTTGAATACGTAAATTAATTCAAAGAGAGTAAAAGTTTATTTATCCTAAATAAATTTCTTGGCATATGGTCACATATAGTCACGTGTTTTGTAACAGTGTGATAACTACCTAAAAATATCTGCAAGAAATGACTTAGTACACTAATTAAAAATGCCGGTGAGGCAATTTTACATATAATCTTAACCATAACCCTGACCTTAACCAGTCTTTAATGTTAATTAACATTAGCCGGGTGCGCAGAGTTTTTCGGGGTAGTTATATGATACTTTGAATTTAGTGCGCAAAGTGCAATCTGTGTTCGGTTCCTGATCACATGATAACAAACCAATAAGAATGCACAATCATATGTGTGTCGGAAACTATTAAAAGTTGATTTAGGGTTAAGTTAGGGTTAAAGTTCAGGTTAGAGTTATATGTAAAATTACCTTCCCAACATTTTTGATTAGAGCTTCAGGTTATATTTAGGCCGTATTTTTCGCTTTGTTTTCTTGTGTCGGATTTTTGCCGGGCTGATCAAAAATTTGCGCAGCCTTATTGGTTTGTGATACGCATGTGATCAGGAACCGAGCACAGATTGTATTTGTACATTTAGTTCCAGTGAATTTTGAAATTGTATCTGCGCTATATGATTGAACCTGCTTAATTCCTTTCATTCCTATTTTAGGAAACAAAGTGTATATTACCCTAGGTGGCATAATTTCATTATATACTCGATTTCTAGCCGCTGGATCGGTAATTTTTCATTTTTTTCGAATCTTTCACCGCCTCGTAGTAACTCCAGCACCGAGATAGGCTTGGTTACGTGTTTTTCTGCTCGGGTCGCTTTTGGTATGACCAAGGCCAAACTTTGCGATATCGAATCCTCGGACCCCTCATTATCGTCAGCTTAGGAAGATTCACTTTTGGTAGGCGTAGAAAGCTCTTGTAACAACCTTGCAACTTATCACGCTCACGAGTAATTCTTGGCGATGATTGTTGAGACGATCAGGCTTGAATATCGGTGTTACTCTCCTCATCTGGCTCACTGATTGGTGGTGTTATTGTTAGATGGTTTGATTCGCCAATTGATCATGCGTAGTGCTGTGACATTTTCTACCGCAATAGGACTAGTTGCCTAACCTTGCGCAGTGGTAATCTTAGCGTTGTTCTAGTTGTCCACTACTATCCTTAAATCCCTCATAAGATCTAAATTTTCTTCATCTTCTACTTTGTTGGGTGATTCGGATTTTGTTGGGTTATTACTGGAAGTACCGGCGGATGTCAATTTCGATCGCAATTTTTCAACTTCCTCCCTAATAGTTTCAATGAGTACGGGCACACCGGACATTTTGCTTCAGTGCGTATAATGTATTTCGATACAAGTTCGGTGTAAGATGATAATACGGTAAATGTTCTAAGTGGAATCACAAGAATGTTTTCCTCGGCATTCGTAGCATGGATTCAGCCTTGGTATTTGAACATTGGCGGGAATTTGAGGTATGCTAGGATCCGAAGTATCCCATGAGACGAATTTCTTAGAAAATTAGCGAACACTTCGAGGTGGACGGTTTCCATACTGGGATCAGAAAAAAATTATTACTAAATAGTTTAAAACGGGTAGCCAAAACATTTCTTACCGGAAGTTTTATAATTTAGAGATTTTACATGTGAAGAAATCCTCTGGATCAGCCAAGTTCTCGAAGGATGGCCAGCCGATTCCTTGGCTGAAAACTTCGGATGCTTTCACTTGAAAAGCAAGAGATATTTATTGATGCACGTCACCCCCACATATGCGAAAAATTAATTTGTTGGAAGATGATATGCTTTATTATGAATAGCGTGAACGGTAATACATGTGATACTTTTTTCTAAAACTATTCCATATAGGTAGTCATATTTTTTGAATGCCTCGTTAGCCTTATGTTTCTTCCTGTTCGTCTACGAATGTAATCCATCATTAACACAGCTAATAATAACATGGTAGGGCGCGACCTATTACTTCTTCATGACTTTCGAATTGCGTAGTTGTGCTTGGTAATGCGAGTTGTAAGATTGGATTCTTGCCAACAAACACATCGCCTCTTTGCTGTTCCCATATTTCCCAACCTGCGCTTTATCCAAGGAATAGCTCATTGTCATCACAAGTTTATAAATATCGGTGCGATTTGCAAAATTAGCAAGGCCTAGAAAAAAAGTACGATAGGACTAGATTACGATAATAATGTATACCTGGGTATGGCTGTTATTTGGTTGTCGTCAATCTCATAATTTGCTAACACCCTCTACTAATATTGTGATCTGGTAGGATCGATGTTCCGCATCTGCTGGACCTAATGCCAAACTAACCTCGCGAGACTCTTCTTGGTAATCTCTGTTGGTGAAACGTAAAGAAAAGCGATTTGTAGTTGATTGTGGAATAATGGCACGTTTTTATTATTTTTCTCAAATTCTAATTGGACGCAAGCAAATGCCGTCGCTAATTGGACGATGCACATTAACCGGATTCAGATAGCTCATGGCGTATTTGATTCACGTGAGCGTAGTTATTAACCAATTAGATTTCAATCGCTTATCTCACAGATCGATAAATAATAAATATCTTGGTTGCATGTAATTCTTTCAGTGTATGGTTTCATGAGCAAGCATTTTTACAACGAATTTGGCACCACTCGACTTTCTGGTTAATCTCAAATATGCATCGCAACAATAATATTATATCCATACCTAAACAATTAATTCAAAAATAGGCGCAAAAAGGTTGATACACGAAAATCGTTACCTGAATCTCTCCTATAATACAAAACTTGACAATCAAATCATGTGAGCGTACAAATTATATAAAAGGTAAGGAAGGTTTCAAACTACTATGGTGACTTGGAACTTTCCTAACTAGCAATGAAAGAAAGATGATCATTCGCGTTCATCAATACTTTTTAGATATCCGAAGCAATGTCAAGACTTATTATCATTATACAAGGAGGTTGCTACAGTTCTAGGTATTGGGAAGGCAAAAGTTATGTGCGTGATTGCTGAACATAATGGAAGAATTTTCACCACAAAATCGACCAAAAAAAAAACTTGATCATAATGTTGAACTTGTAGACAGCCTTGTTATGTTTATAAATATTTTTAGTGTCCTACATTCAACACATATATTATAAGAAAATCTCGAAGAAAATGCTCATATACTCTCAAAAAGGGCAGTTACTTTGTGTACTTTATACATTGGAATATTATTATGATTGTAATGAATGTCGAAATATGTTGTATGAATCATCAGAAAATGTTACCTTTCGTAGTTATTATTTATGATGTTAGTTTGAAAACTTACAAGGAGGAAATAAAGTTCCAACTAGGCTGTAGGTTTTTTTAGATGAGTTATATTGTCATTTGCATTATACTACAAATTGTAGTTGGGTGCCAAAGCATGGAGTTGTATATTTACCTGGGTGCAGTTTCTTGATGATTATTTTTGGTGCAATAGTTGTAACGCGTAATTAAATTCTTTGATGAAATCGTTTCTAATTCTCTTTTATTGTGGGAGCCATCAATTAAACCAGCAGATGCTGATGTCTGGGATAATGTTCTCGATGTTGTTCGAAATTCCAATATCATGGCAAATCATGTTGACTATCATGGTAATTTTACGGCTGAAATATTTAAAGATCTTTTTGATAAACTCTGTAAATATCAAAGAATGCTATGGATCAGTTGACATCCATATGAATGGTGCTTGCTATCACAAATGTCGAATCGAACAAGTGCCAAACATCGAACTTGAAAAGAATATATTCTATAAAACTTCAAATATAAGATCTATATTTTATATGTTTTAATTATTGACTTTATATATAATTAAACCAATTTGATCAAATTAAATCTAAAAATCTGAAAAAAAATTATTTTATATATATTACTGAAAATTATATATATAATAACAATAAAAAATAATGTAATAATATTAAAATTTATTAATTAAATATAGTAAAATGTAAATTTTTCTCTTTATATAAAAGTTTTCAATTTTACTAATAAATATTTTTTATTTTTACATTAAAATTAAAATAATATACATATTTTAACATATATTTTTTTCAAATTTTTTAGATTTAATCTGATAAAGCTATATGTTAAAATATGTGATATTATTTTCATTTTAATAAATTTTGACGTCGTTGCATTATAATTATTTTTTTTATTTATTAACATCTTGATAGCAATTAATTTTATTATATATTCTTGTACCATTATAGATTAATCAAAAGATCCCTGGCTAATCAAATTTTGAATATTCATAATAGAATTGAAATCAGACTCAAGTTCAAATTGAAGATTATCAAGCGCTTAATTGATAATAATTCGTAAACTCATTTGGCAAAATCTTAATTTTTATCTAATAGTTACAGATTATTAAATATTTGTATTTTATAAAATATATAAACTTCTTATTAAAAAGTAAAAATTTAATTTATGAATATAATAATAGAATAGAATCTTTGATCATGTTTACAAATTAAATTTTGTATTTGCTTTTTATTTGAAAGTTTTTACATTTTATAAAATATAAATATCTGATAACTTTAATATTATGTGTTATACTATTAAAAAGTAAACAATGAGTTCTTTTGTAAATACTTTTTCAGCTGTAAAAATAAATTGATATAAATCATAAAAATACTTATCATACAAAAAAAATGGTATAATGAACCGCCGTTTTTTCTTAACGCAATTTATAATCCGTTTTCCCATTTGGTCTCAAAAATTTGGCGAAACCATCTCCAATCAGTTTGATTTCAGTAGCCATAACGATAAGACATCCTTTTTAGCTACAATTGAGTACAATTCTCGATTATTTAGAGTTGCAATTAGTCTATGATGAAGTCTCATCTAGAATATGCAATATTTGTTAACACCTTCCAGTTTTTGAATTAAAAATATTTTTTCGTAACATCTCGTGAAATTCCATATTTTCGGATAAATTTCTATAACTTAATTTATCATATGAATCATCAAGGAAAGCTTAATTTAGATGAGTATATATTTTCTCATTTTGTCATAATTGAGAACTCCCCTTCCCTTTTTCTAGCATTAATTAATTATTGCACGGCATACATTTCTAGGTGAAATAAAAATTTTTGTCTACTTTAAAGATCTCAATTATGAAAATTGCATTGCCACTGGTCCAAGTTATCCATCGAACCAATCGTACGCACTTTACATACTGTATTTGTTTTCTTCAAGCCGAGTTATGATGTCAATCGTAATAGGGAGGCTCAACATGGAAAACAGTTTAGGGTCGTAGCAGCTCAACTTTTTCTATGTTTTAAATATAATGGGAGGTTTAATTGCACATAAGAAACTTACGCAAACTGCTGATAAGGGAATCCACACAGTTGAATAGTTTTCGCGTATATTATTGGTCAATCAGAGGGTGAGCCTCATATTAAAGATTAAAATTACATTCAGTGCAAGAAATTAGCATTGTTAAGATGACGGAATTAATAGTGATTGGAAATACTAACGATTCCAACCGCAATATATATTTATTTTATCATTAAATTATTTCAGTAAATTTTTTACAGTTAAATAAAATTAATCTGAATCGTTCTCTCAAGCTTCCCTTTCAACAACTTGTAGATCTTCGCTCCACTCATGACGCCCGATCAAATGCGACAACCGTGCACGAACAAGATCATTAATCCATTGAATTCTACGTATAGTTTGGCTCTCATAAAACTGGTTGATTCGCCGGTCCTCAGTAACTGCAGTTTCGGAGATGTACCGACGTTCAGACACGAGGTCCGGATCGAATCTACAATTAGAATTCGTAATTTCCTGAATAAGATCGATATCATGCGCGGGATTGTGCTCGAGTACTTTGGCACTAGCGCCTGTTAGAGTGCGTCGGAGCATTTTTTCGTGTAGGGGCGAGAGACCTGGTAGTAATTTTATGGTGAATTGTAGGTATCCCTTGATTTTTGGTGATCCTCGTTGTAGTTGGTTTGAGACACTTATGTCCCCTTGTTGGGCTAGTAATTTTTGATGTGCAGTCAAGCTTTTTTCATATATAGGAAGTTCTATGTTTTTTTCCTCGAGATCTATGAGATCACGTAACCATATTTCAGCGATTCCGACAGTTTTAGCAATCCCAAGAAAATTTTGTCTCTTAATTTTAAAACTTAGGCATCTCTTGTACCGTTCAAAAATCGGGAATAAGACAACATCAGACCACGAGGGAGGCTTCGCAGATGAATATTCGGTCGCGTGAGAATGAGTGTGTGAAATATTCAGTTCAAGTGTTACGTAATAGTGTCGTGCTATTTGCATTATTATAAAGACAACGAAATGAGTAAAAATCCAGTTCATGAGAAAAATCTGAAAAATTGGAAAATGTGATTTACATGTATGATATCTATCTAATTCTACCGCCTTTATATTCTTCACTTCTAATGTTCCCACATCGTATCCTTTTTCTGTTGGCAATAGTTTTAGCGTCACTGGCTTAAATAGAAAACTTAAGCGGACTTTACCACATCCTACACCATCTCGTAGCGGAAACCACTTTGTGACATCCTTCTATTTGAATCGCATGGTTAAAATTGTTTATAGATGTGTATTATTAGTAGTGGTGTGGTTACTTAATTGTAATTGAATAAGTTTACCCTATGTTTGGATTCGAATAGCTCTTTTAATGACACGGTGACAATGCCAATCACCGGGTCGTATTCAAGATCTCGTTGATTCTTAATCAATATTCGTAATGTGGCGGTACTCCAATCACGCACAAATTGTTCGGTACACGCGTTCCAGTATGGAGCTACACTAATTTATTAATAGACGCGATTGAGAATACGATTTCACTTTTCTAAGATTAACGCTGAAAGAGAACAATTATCCTTACTTGTTTAACTTAACTCTCGTTCGATATACTAAATCAAATACAAAAAAAAATATAGTCAATTTTAAAAATCAAAAGGAAATCGACTCTAATTCACATTGTATGTACCTTGCGTATCATTAAGAAACACCACAGCATAAGGATTCGGAAAAGTTGTGCCTGTCAAGTGATCCAATAATGGTATCGTTGACGAGGGCTGTGTGTATGGAGCTGCTGTCACCTGTAAACTCATTGCTTGCTGGATTTGGATACCGAGAATTCCGGCTATATATTTTTATTTCGAAATTTATTTTTGTGTTAATTTAAGTTCGGAAAGATGAAACATATAAAATAGACTCACAAGTCTGCTCTTTTTTGGGCACGGCATCTTTTGGAAGTTTTGGCGAAAAAAGAATTCGACAACGAAGACATCCGCGCTTAGTTCTCCGATCATTATTCAAAAATAAATCTGTCCATCTGTTAAAAAAAAATAAAAATAAATTTTTGAAGAAATCATCCACTCGTTAAATCATAAATATTCAACGCATACCCATCGAATACAAGCTTTTCTTCCTTCCCATCTCCAATCGTGCCAATCAAATCAAACCAGGCAGAACCAATGTGATCATCCGGACTAAATCGATCCCAATCCCATACACTCAGACGTAGTTTGACATGCTCGGAAAGCACATCGATTTCAGGTATTTTGTGAAAATGCTGTTCATTCCATATTGGGTGTGGATCATTTTCGATTATTCGCGAGGTTATTTCCGAATGTATATATGGAGATGGCTCGAGAGCTGAGACAACGTATGGATCGTTATCGCCTGTTAAAAAAATTGAAGATTACGCGTAAGACATATATTTATTTGAATGCTCGATAGAAAATAAAGAGTTTACCTGTTAAATCCACTTTTGCCAAATCTTTTGCTTCGTAGATATCAATTTTGACAACTCCGATAGATGAGGTGTCTAGAGATCAAGCAAGATTTAAACCACGCGAAATTCGACGAAAAAAAATAAATAATATATATTTATATAACCATGTTTGACGTCATCACCGCTAAGTAACTCAGCCAAATCAACATCTGTAGAACTTGGATATGTAACGGTATGTAAAGCAGTATTGACACTAGTCTTGAGAAAATTCTTAAGAATCGGAAGCTATGAAAATATTTAAGATTATATTTAATTTAATACATTAAGTTGGCATGTTATAATTATGAAATAATACACACCTGTGCCAAGTTTATCGGAACCAAGCTGACAATGCTCGTTTCGTAAGTGGGTGCATTAACCAAACTAAATTTGCCACGTGAAACAAATGGCGGAGTGCCTGTGGCCTGAATCTCGAAACGAATCGTTCCTGAAAATCCAATAATTTCAACTTTTACCGGAATGTAGGCTTTAAGCCCTGTTTTGATCGACGCAATTATATGTGGAGGAGCAACTTCAGCGGCAGACGAGTTTTTGTCTGTAGAAGAAATGAACGAGAAACTAGCCTCCCCAATCTTTTGAATAAATAAATGGATCAGGATCGAATTAATAATAAATATAAGTATTTGTATTGGAATATTTACCAGAGTCTCGTCCCCATCTTCAGTCTCGCGTTGTCCAAGTATTGTTATACTAGAAAATGATAAGCACGTTTTATTTATATTCATACCTTGTGGTTAAGAAATTGAAAACCTACTTGTCAATGCGGGGAGCTACTATTCCAAGTTCTAAACTTTCGATAACTGCAGCAGTCTGTATGATTTTTTTTTAGTTAATATATAACTTTCAGTTATGGAGCAGTTGAGTTGACTAAGGTGCATACCACAAAGCTGGGTGCACTACGAGTCATCGCGTCTTCCAGCATATCAGTAATTGAGACTAACAATTCCGGATTAAAAGTACTCCATATTTGTTGAATGATGTAATTTAGCCTTTAAAATCCAAAACGACAAATTTAAATAAACATCGTCATAGGCAGAATAAATTCAAATCAAAATTACTAAGTACTATTAAATTTATTACCATTCAACAGTTTCACCATCGCCATTTCGTAGCTTTTTGACAAATATTTTATAAGCGAAAACAATTTAATTTGGTTTTTTTTAAAAATCCATAATTATAATTACCCTTTCATATCCAAGCTCACGTTGAATGTACCAAGAGATACGTTGCTTAGTGTCTCGAGTACGACTATTATACCAAGAATTGAATTGCGAGATAAAAATCCAAATCAAGACAACAGAGAATCCATATCTTCCAATAAGGAAACACATTACGCAAATTAAGGTATGGACTAAAAAAACTTGAGTACGAAATTCTCTGTCGGCTCTTTCGATATCTGCATATTGAGTTTTTTCTTGGTCGAATTTCACGTTTTCTCGGACATTGTTGTTTTTATTGGTATTATTTATTCTTTCATCCAATCGCTTCTTGTTATTTACACGTATCTCCCCTACCACTACATGATTTGAAAGATCTTGTTCTTGTCCATGTCCAGGACCTTTATATGAATTTGCATTTCCTTGATTTGCTGAAGATTTAATGTTGTTGTTGTTTCTGCTGCATCCTGCGACAGCGCTCCCGCCTCGGTCGTTATTTTCTTCTAGGAATTTAGAAAGAGCTGTGGTTGCAGAATATGGTGATGATAAATTACCGGCGGCCGTGGAAATAGTCGTTTCTACATGTACTACTATTTTTTATTATTTTGGGGTACGAAATCTTAATTTAAAATGGTGAAATTAATATTTTACCTGTTTTACCGTTGCCTATTGGTCCATCCAATATTTTCTCTTTATTTTTAATTTGACTTTTGGTGTTTGTACATGCACTATAATTACTATCACCGTTTTGTTGCATTTTTTTCTTTTTTTGACTAGATAATAAACTATTATTTCAAGTCAATTTAGCGTTAAATCGTTCAATCAAATGGATTCAAAAATGCAGCAGAGGTTATTATATGTTAGACGCTCGGAGTTTGAACAAATAAGAAATAGTCTATATTATACTTGGATGTGGAAATTTTCTTACGTAATGTTCCTTCATCATCTCCGATATGACGATGTTTCGACGTTATACCGATTCATAAGATCACACGATCACGAGATTAGAATTATCAATAATGTAAATAATAAAGTAGCCTTTTCTCTTTAACGTTAGCGTTGGAAGCTTGATTAGTGAGTTTAACAATTTCAATTAAACTTGTCGTAAGCTTTGTAATTTGCCAAAATAATAAATATTTCAGGCCAAATTCTATACGATAACGATAAGATTGTATTGATAAATTGTTCGACAAAACAACGTGCACTGATTCCTAATATAGACATATAAATAACCGTGCGCTTAGCAGTCACACACACTGCATTGTATATCAATTCTTGTGAATTTGAATTTGTAAAATTGACGTTAACGTTAAAAAAGCAAAACAAAAAATAATGGATAATAATGAATTTGAAGAAGAGGAGTATGAAGAAGCTCAGGAATTTGTGACAAAGGTTTTTGTTTTTCTGTTCTTATATTATTATTTTCATCAAGCAATTTCGTACATTTATACCCATATTTATTCGCAAAAGTAGATAAATTCCACAAATCGCGATGCAGTCTTCTTTGCGATCGATTGTTCAGAATCAATGTTGAAACCTGACAGCTTTGACATCGGCAATGGCGAAAGCGAAAACAATGATCCTAATATCCCTTTGCGTTCTGCTATCCGTGCTGCGTCTGAAGTCTGTCTACGTAAAATTATTGATCGATCGCAAGATTACGTTGGAGTTCTTTTATATCATACTGTAAATATGTATTTACTTTTTGTTTAATCTTTCGTGAGTGGTATTGATTTTTAGTATTAATTGTGAATTTAATTTTTGAAAATTAGAGAAAACATAAAAATAAGTCAGACACGAATCACATATACGTGTTTCATGATGTTGATTTTCCGGATGTTAATAGGATCAGAGAGCTTAATGAACTCGCGTCAGGTATTTGAATAGTGAAAAATTTGAAGTGAATGATGCATGTGCTGATCGAATTTTATTATGTTAAAAAAAGCCGAAATCGATTTTAACGAGCATTTTGGATCTAGCGATGAAGAATTCCCGCTCGCTAACGTGTTTATGGCATGTCGCGATTCTCTCGCGCAATTGTGTGTTTTTCGTTTCCTCCTTTATTTTTTATACGGCATTTTATGATTTATGGTTTCTTAGATTTATTTATTGAAATCTATTTCTTTTTATTTGCAGGTCTGCCTCCTTTAAGACCAAAAGAATATTCGTTATTACAGATCAAGATCAGCCACATAAAAACAACCCATTTCTACGAAGCGCGGCGATTACACGAACTCACGTAAATAAATAAATTTTTGGTGTATTCAGTCCAAGTATTTTGAATTTATTCGCTTCGATTTGTAGGACTTGGCCGAAATCGATATTGAAATAAATCTATTCAGTATCAATCGGCCTGACAAGCCATTCAATTTCAATGCGTTCTGGAGTGTAAGTCTCCTTTATCTAATAAACCTCACCATTCTTTCATTAAATTATCACTATATTCTTTAATTTTTAGGAAATTATCTGTCAAGATGACCTTAAAAAGAATCACATCAACACTTCTGGTGATATTGAAGTACTGGTGGAACGCGTGATGGCAAAAGAATCTCCTAGGCGTTCTATGTTCTCGCTACCGTTCCGAATGGGACCTAATGATGTGCTTACTTTCGGGGTCAAAGGGTAAATTTAATCATGGATTATTTCTTTGACATTATTTCGAGGAGGAATGTACATTTATTAAATATTGACTAACAAATAATAGATACGTGCTCTGTATCGAGAGAAGAAAACCACTACATCAATGGGCATATATGAAAGCTGAGGAGATTAAACTAGCGAGCTCTCAAGCTACCTATATATGCGCGGTAAATTTCAATTTTCAAGAATTAATAATAGAATTCAAACTCAACACTTTTATACTAGGATACCGCGCAACGTCTATTAACTTCTGACATTAAATACTCCTATAGCTTTGGTGGTGAAAAGGTATCTATCGATGATTATTCATTTCGATATATTACTGTATTTAATATGCTCAATTTCCAATTTTCTCAGATTGTCTATACCGCCGACGAACTGCACGAACTGAGAAAGATCGGTGAAATGGGTATATATTTAAAGCTCTAAAACTCTTCTTTTTTCTATTATTTATTTGGTTTTTTCCTTTCTCAGGAATCACGCTCCTTGGATTTAAACCATACAGTCGATTCAAGTTTCACTACCATCTCGAGCATCCTTATTTCATTTACCCGGACGAAGAGGTATCATTTTGGTTATCTCCGACACACGTACAGCAAATAGTATACTGAATTAACAAAAATGCCTTTATAGAAATACGAAGGAAGTACTCGGACGTTTGCAGCATTACATCAAAAAATGCTCGAAATGGAGAAAATTGCAATTTGCCAAGTGCGGCTCCGCAAGACTTCAGTTCCTCGTATCGCTGCTCTTGTAGCTCAGGTATGAAGTTTTGTCCATTTTATTCATCATAGAATTTATTCAATTACTGATACGCGTTTATTAGAAAGAAGAATTGGATGAATACGGCGCTCAAATTCACCCGCCTGGCATTCAAATGTATTATCTTCCATACGCTGAAGATTTACGACCGTTGCCAGAGTGGTCGGAACTTACTTCAGGTAAAGGAAACAAAGCTCGCTTGCACAACTTGTATTACCACTGAAATTTTTGTTATATTTAGCACCTTCGGACTTGGCTCAAATTGCGGAAGAAGTGATTAATACTCTCACAATAAAAAGCGGTTTTTCACCCGAAAAATTCAAAAACCCTGGTACAAAAATTTCTCATTCAAATTCACATTTAATATTTGCGTTTAAAAGATTTGTTAACTTTTATTTTACTTGATAGCTCTAAAGCGATTTTATGACGTGTTACAATGTATCGCGCTTGATAAAGAACTGCCGGAAACCTATACTGATACTACAGCCCCAAAAGTCAATGCTATTCGAAAGGTATTTTTAAAATATTTCCTATTCATGAATAATTTATTTGACTTGGCTTTTCATAATCTATATTGATATTATTAATTCCCACTTTTAGCGTGTCGGAAAGAAGTTTATCGAGTTCAATAAACGCATCCTTTCAACCACATCAGAAATTAAAGCAAATCGCCAAGACCTCGTCTACGAAGTAAAGTCAACAAGAACACCAAGGAAGGCAACGACAGGCGCTGCATCTAGGCCAAAAGCGAAACCTGTGTCTGAAGATGGTAGTGTTGATGTAGAAGCATTGTGGAAGGACGGACGGGTGAGTATTTGCGCTCTGTATTTTTATTGGTTACAATGGTTTCTTTGACTAATCTTTTGTTTTAATATATTTATTTAGGCTGAAAAGGTCGGTTATTATATATTTGCTTTAGATGACATTGTCAATGTTAATGATTCTTTTATTTTCATTTATAATAAAAAGGCAACAATTGTGGATATAAAAGCATATCTAACAAAAATAGGACACACAGTTACTGCGAAAAGGAAAGCCGAGTTACTGGAAGAGCTGGATTCAGTCTTGAAGCAAAAGTATTCTGATTAACGTTAAGATTGAATAGTTCGCCTGGTACGTACATAATACACGTTAATCCTTGAATATCGATATGAATAAAAAAACTTGTACATGACATTGTAATTAAATATATGCTCGACCGATTTATAACTTTTGATTAGCTCTAGAGAAACACATGCCTTTTTTTTTCATTGCTGTATATCAAAGATCAATTTATACCACTGCTAAAAAGAACATTTGACTGGATTCCTATAATTGAGTTATCGTTATAGTCTGGTGCAAAGAGATTTGTACCTCGGATAAATATTAATTTTTTATCAAATATAATAAAATACTTAAAGTGTATTTTTTAAAATAATTTTTTTTAGAAAAGTATTACATGTACTTCATTTATTGAATAAAAGTCCAACGATTTTTATTAGAAGCAATTATCGTTATTAACTTTTATTTTGAGGTACAAATCTTTTTGCACCAGACCATACCGATACACGTAAAATCATTCATTGTCTAAGCAACTAACTACATGTATTTTATTCCGATATTCATATATGTCATAGTTCTAAAAAAAACCCTGCTATGTATGGTTCCCCAATTTATCATCAAGAGAGTGTAAATTTTATTCAGTTTACGTAATTCGGTTACGTACATTGATATGATCATCACGCATACATATACGTACAGTCGCCGCAAAAAGTAACGCCCGATTTTTTTAAAAAATGAAATTTTCGATTTATTTCATTTCTGCTTTATAT